TAAACTTTTCTTTATTTACTGCCCCACAGCATACGCCCAAGTCCCCAACCACCGTGATGGCTGTGTTGACTAGACCACAGTACAAGTGTGCGGGGCGTGCTTAGATTAATATACAACAGGGTATGATGGTTGTTGTTACCTCCGTGAACGGAACTCAGCGTCACGAGAGGTACTGTTTTGTTTTTACGTAGCAAGCCCAAATCACTCAGTACCGTATCACGTATATTTGATTGGAGAGTAGGTATTAACAATAACATTCCACCCAGTATATCAGTTATAAATCAGTACACGGTCCATTTTGCATTTTAGATGACACGTATTCACCAGTTCCCACAATACTAAAAGGCATTCTTGTATACATGTACATAAGGGGAATTTTTGCAAATCATGTACTGAAATGCAGTATCTTTCTCTCTTTTTAACAAAAATCTGCAAAATATATACATAACACTGGTCACTTCAATTTTGGAATGTCACTTTCCAAATTTGCAGACGGCCATGTTGAAATCCCTGATTTTTCAACTTTTGCCATTTCTGCAGGTACAGTAAATTTTTACATACCATTTGAAAGATCATGTTATCCTCAGTACCAGGTTATTTTTTTATGGTCAAAACATACATATTTGTCAAGATATTTCACTTTAAAAATTGCAATCCCGCCGGTGTACAAGCCACACCGACGGGATCAGAAGCCCACCCCGGTCGGGAGTAAACTCTACCCCGTCGGGGTGGAAAACCACCCCGTACCCAGACCGCATCCAATTATCCTCATGAACACCCCATGAAAACCACTGAATTAATGAGAATTCACATCTTCACACCAGTGTAATTAGCAAGTTTGTGTGATAATTCATGAGAAGTCTGGGCTCAAAGGTTACCCCGACGGGGTTGAACAGCCCCGTCGGTGTGTTGAACAGCCCCGTCGGTGTGTCAGGTTGAACAGGCTGGGCTAATGGCCTAAGCCTTCAGACCAGACTGAAAGTAATTTCCCAATGAAGTTTTAAAAATTAACATTAAACTTGCTTCTAGGTTGATGGCGGTTTATACACAGTTTATTATATCACTTCATTATTGTAGTTCTGTGTGTATTCCTGCAGTTTTTCTAGACTGTATTTTCCAGGATTATGAAAGAACATTGTCTTCAAAGATACAAATGAGTCATGGATATCTCTGACATGGCAGGAATGGATATGATTGACCAGTCAACCTGCTCCACATGAGTGCCATATATATGTACATGACGTGTACAATCCTGTACATGTGTAGGTCCTAACAAGGAGGTTAAAAATCTAGTCTTTGTCCACCAATACCTAGCTCACTGTAGGATGAATTCTAGCAAGGAGGTTATAACCTCTAACCTGGCTAACACTAAGAATAGAGTTTGGACATGGCTAAAAATTTAATAAACGTTGATAACAACTTTTCAAACTCCATGGATAAACTCATCTATCATTAGCAGAATACCCCAGGGCTCAAAATATTTTTCACTGCATACCTGAACTGGTGCAGTAAACATTTAACCTGCACCAGACAAAGAAGAAAAATTTTGCTTGCACTTAGGCCACACCAAGTTAATTTATTGGTTAACGGATTCACCGCTTCATTTTTTTCTGATTTGCAAATAAAAATAAAAATTCAAAATCAACTGCAAAATGCTCATATTTTGCCCTGAACAGTTGAAAACAGTCCTTTCCTTACTACTTGTTACAGTCATTCCATCTTTCAATGCAATGGTATCATTAAAAGTTCAAAATGATTGTTTAAATTTTGAACCAGCCTGGTGTGTTGACTTCATGGCTCCTATCGTACCATTTTCGGCCATAATAGGAAGCCTAGGCCTGTTTTTATTTTTATTTTTTTTCCGCCCGCTCCGTTATTTTTCTAGAAAATCTGATAACCAAGAAATTAAATAGGTGTGGCCTTACTCAGACTTTGAGAAGTATGCATCATAATAAAATCTGTAACCATTGCTATTATTTTTTTATACTTCATAGGTGCTAACAGTCAATGCAGCAAACAAAAATACACATACTACTACATGTATCCATAAACCCATGGCCAAGTGCAATGTTAGGTGCCAGATAGCAGAAAATCTGACTGGATGAAGGGCCAAATAGTCAATTACAATGTTCTTTAGTTTTCACATGCCGGCTATCTTTCTGGCTTTTCCTGGGTGACCCAGTACAAGCTGCCGAGATACTACCAGTAATTTGGCATGTAACACCAGTAATGTGGCATGCACTCCCTTATAGGATAATTTGTATCAAGTTGATAATTGGACAGTGACATTTGCATGTCAAGAACAATAGCTGACCTAGTTTTAACCCGCATAACAATTGTACCTGGAGCAGAATAATTACCGAATGGGTACTGTTGGACAGAAATAGAGGATTGTATAATTCCTTGCTTTGAAAGCAGGCTCAAGTTGTGAATATTAGGCTTCTTGCTTATCTACTTAGTCTAAGTATTTAGGCTCATATTTATATATACTTAGTCTAGTATTTTGTTGCCAAAACTGGAAATAATCTGGAACAACTTTCCAATATTTCAATCATATTTCAACTTCACAGTCAAAAACATGGCCGCCAACACAAGAATAATTTGCCCCAATATGGACGGACCAAAACAAAGACTGAATATAAACAAATTCCAGGTTTATCCATTTGTTTGGCATTTTGATTAATGTCATGTGAATAGTGCTTACAATAGCGAATAGGTAAACTTTAACCATGTTGGCTAGATTCTAAGGAATATTTTAGCCACTTTTTAAAGATTTTAATGACTGAATTATTAGCATGAGCCAGGTTTGGAAACCAGTACTAGTTGTATATAAATTTCATGCATTGGATACTTGTTAATAATGCATCCTGGTATGTACAAGTAGTTGCATTTACCAGGCACATCAGAGAGGTCTATCTACCTAGCACAACTGTTGAGCATGTAGTGGGCAAATTTAGTGACTTAAATAAGCTAACACTTCCCCCCCCACTTTTTGAACCCTCTGTCCCTACTGTCTCAAAAGTCTATGGGATTCTGATTGCTTTGCCACTGAAATTCCTTCTTCCCTGAAAATTTTTGCTAAAGCAAAATCAACCCACTCAAAGTTGTAGTTTTCTGGGTGAGTCGACAGGTTGAAACTGACCGGGCACAATCTAATAACAGCTCAGGATATCTGACTTGCAATAAACCTTCTTGGTCAGGATACTGTCCTTTATTTCTTATCCCCAACCCAAGGAAAATTGGACCCTCTCTGGCAGATGGATACTGCCTGGCCAATTTCATATTTCTTTTTGCCACCTTAGGATCTGCTTGGAGCTAGTGCTTCATTTCCAGTCACCACAGTTCTCTGAACAAAAACAAAGGTCTCAACTCTCAAGCCAACCCAAGCCAGTGCACATTATGTAAATTGGGGGTAATTGGCACGTCAACGTGAAGTTGGAACTGCACACCTGAGGCAAACTCTTTGAAAGGACAGTAATGGTGTCCTCCCTATTAAATTTCATTTTATACCTTCTTGCATAGAAATACTAGTACATTTGTATATCATTGCTGTGGTTGTAATGTAGAAAATACTCCAGGGTCTGTAGGAAAGAAAGTTATCGGAGAAGGGCAAAATCACTTTTTCTTCAAACATCACACCCACCGACCTATAATCTCCAAGCAGATCCTACTGTGACAAGGCTGTCAGCTTTGTCACAGTATAGGATCTGCTTGGAGATCCTACAGCAAATGGAACCAAGGACCTTGATGGAACAGACCATGCTACAAAATGTCCCCACCCACCCAAAGTGTCGTTTCTCCCCATTTACAGAAGTACATTTTGACCGTAGTAGTTATACAGTAGACAAAAACACATCATTCAAGTATTTCTCCAGCCATGAAATATGAATGTAGGATGTACTCAGTAGACTATTTTGTAGGGCACCAATGGCCGCTTGTGTGTCTACCTATTATTATAAGTGGCTGCAAAGAGCTTTCATTAAAATTGATGAAAGCTCCTTTCGCTGTAAAAAGTCTCAATAAGTAAACAATGCAGCCAATTAACTTGTCTCAGACAGAACAATGGGACAAAATACACACGATGTCAAGTTTCTCAGCAAGTCACACCAAGCTTTTTAAAGCTCCTTGGTTTAAAGATTTCATGACATCCTCACAAAAATACTCTGCACCTGGTGGTACCAAGGTTCAAAATTAATGTATGTTCCAACTTCCTAGTTTCTCAACATATTTCTTATCATGATGCCTCCAAATATCTGAGAAGAATAGTGAGTCCTGATTTGCACTGCTTGCAGTGTGTATTTTGAATGACAGACATTATAACAAAGGGCCTCCTTCCACTCAGACAAAGGAGGTAAAAGAGAGAACCTCCCTTTTTTGTGACAATTATCAGAGATTGCTCCCATTCTTGACCAGCTAAGGCATTTTGCTCATTACATGACATGATTATGACCATATGAAAATTTGTGGGCAATATTCACAAGAACGACTGACTGTTTTCAGCTGCTAAGCCATTAATTTCGATCCCCGAATATTGTGGCCAGTGTAATAGCAATTGAGGAACTTGATCAATTCATTTGCAAGACCTGTGTGTTCTACATCTCAATTCTTACAAATAGACTGAAGGAAATAAATTTAAGTATTATTTTATATGGCCTCCTTCAGTCAATATTGATCATGTCAGTAAAATTCTATTAGACATTAGCTTTGGAGTAGTGAGTATGTGTTTGTAAGCTCTCTGGAATCTTTCTTTTTTGTGACCCTTATAGTTGGCTGAAAGGGGCAGATAGAAGAGTGTGGATTGTGCTCTCCATGCTTATTCTTTGTCCTGATAATGTCGATTTTGCACATCAATTGGATTGGATGACTGTCTGAGCTCACCCCGATGGGATCAGAGCTCACTCCGATCGGGGTAAACTTGCCCCGTCGGTGTGTATAGACTGATCAATTCACACCTTTCCTGGCTTTGTTTTGGGATTTTGCACCTCTTTGACCAGAACTCCTACCCCGTCGGGGTGACATTACCCCGTCGGGTTTAGTGATTATGACAGTGTCACCCCGACGGGGTGAGTACCTTACACCGACGGGGTGAGTACTTTACACCGACGGTCCTGTGATTTGGTCCTGACGGGGTAGCTGCTAGCCCCGTCGGGGTGCTGAAAAACCCGTCGGTCTGCTTGCATTTTCTATAAATGATATCTAAAGTTATGAATACTGCAGAACAATAATTTTCATATCACTATACTCCTTACATCAAGAGCTGCGCACTGATGTGAAACTTGAATGCAAAATGTTAATTTTTACTTGACATTCCAAATGGCCAGTGACTTTCCTAAATTAAGATGACCAGTGTTACATGATGAATATTGTTGTCTTTTCGTAAAATGCTTTGATGTATTCACTGCATGTCAGCATATCCCCTGACATACAAACACAATAGACTTTTTGTTCACGGTGAACATTTCATATAAATAATTTTTTTTTACAAATATAGATAGCTCGATATCAAAATAGAAACTGTCTGTGTTAGAAGTTCAGCGCCAACACGAACAGAGAGCCTTGCGGCAGCGTGACAGGAAGGATCCCCACAGCCGACGTTTCGCCAGCTTCTTGACAGGGTGAGTCTGTGGCTGACTGGCGCCGTTCTCCTGTGTCTCCTCCTCACTGGGAATCTCCTGTTCGCTGATCAGGCCCTGCAGCGTGGCGAGTGGGAAGTCCAGTGGCTGGATCTTCAGCCGAACAGACTCCGCTGATCTGTTCAAGATATCGTACAATTCTGGCGTCGTCTTCCCGTGTACAGGGAGGAAGTTCATGGCAACCAGTCGGCCGACTGGAAGGGGTCCGATGCTGCCTGCTGCTTGGCACACCACGTGGATTTTGCGCAAGGTCTCCTCTGTAGCACCAAACGGCTTCTCCGGGACCTCAGTAGCGAGGAGCAGGAACTCGAACTGTCCCAGCCTGTTTCGGTACAGCACAAAGTCCTTACACCTGGCAGGCTTTGTCGGAGGGACAGGAGTGTTGTCGGTGGTCTTGTCTGTGTCGTCTCCATGGTGAAGCCTGGGTGGTTTAGGCGGTGATGTACCTGTAACCACACCGTCTCCATGGTGAAGTCTGGGTGGTTTAGGCGGGGGTGTACCGGTAACCACACCGCTAGCTGAGGGGACGGACTCGGTCTGTTCTGTCAGCTGTTCCAACTCTGCCTTGATCTTTCGAACAGAAGCTCGGAGGCTGAGGAGAAAAAAGACAAAATTAGGTTACACGTGGCTGTCTCTGGGAGCTGTTACGAGATAGTAGCTATCTGTTAAACACTGAGACTGTCATTCTTTTTGTACTGGCATCCGTAGTAATTACGTAGAATCAATGACGGCACCAAAACTGAATTCCCTAATTTTTTTGAGAAAAGTAAATGCCTAATCTTCTTCACTTCTCTGCTTTTGTATCTTTATGGTATTTAATTTGATTTGGTTGCAGCTGGTAGAATTTATAAATAATTGAAATGATTATTATGAAAGTTAAAGCTATAATTGAAGTCGATTTACTTTGCATCATTGGGGCAGTGCCCATCTCCATAGCCCTTGGGCCACATAAGGTCACTACAGTAAGGGCGCATTCAAATCTTTCACATTGCTGAGTAATAAACAGTGCTAGATCTTTTTTCAATGGCCTGGGTGGGGTTTGATTTCACCACCTCCTGAATGCAAGGCAGACACTCTACACCCACTAGGTCATTGCTCCCGTACCTGATCAGAACTCTGTCGTCACCCGGCAGTGCATGTGAGGGTGCCACACCGCTGTCTCCGTTAGACCGGCTGGCCAGGGCCTCGTACCCCTGGACCAGACTGCTCACGTTAACTGATCTGGAAAGGAAACATGTACGTATTAAAGTGGCCTTTAGTTACAGCAATATAATGTATGACCAAACTTAACTGTTTGGACTGCAATTGTCGCTTTCCATTGCCTTCCAGTCAAGGTGAGATGGCTTCTCTGCAAGGGAAGTTCTGAAAAGTAGCATGTAGGTGTGTCTACCGAAATATCAACTAGAATGCAGGAATCCATGTTGTGAACCTCCAGCTTATCAACACATACAGTCAGTTTCCATCAAAGACAGGGTACACAGCTTATATAGGTTTCAATCTGTGTAGATGGATTCTCCTCTCATTTTCCAACTACGTACTGTTCTGAACATTGTTAGCTAAAACTAAACTAAAGAGTTCTTACTCGCTAAACGAGCTTGCTGCATCGCCGTGTTGCCCGGGCTATGTGAGAGAGGGAACACAAAGCAATAAGAACAGCAAAACAACACAAACAACAAACAAACAAACAAACAAACAGAGCAAAGCAAGATATAGAGTATGTAAACATAGAAAATCTGATAGACCAAGGAGGTTTAATAGAGCGAGCGCAATATTAGGCGAATGAATTGTAAGAGGGGGGGGGGACTTTGTAGAGTTGGGCCACCTTTTTTGTAAAACTAAATCCTATTGTACCTTGCTGCATTTTCCCGTCTTTCTAGTAGTAAATTCTACATGTACTCAATTACACCCGATGGTTTGACGACACTACCGCAAACCCACGATTACTAGCAGAGGATTGTGGGAAGCATTAAAAAGGTAAATAACACTTTTAACTGGCCATAAGTGTTGTTAAAATGCGAACTTACCTTCAACGTCCCCTCATCACACTCATGGGTCAGTTTTCCCAGCAAGCTCAAGTCACCTCCTCCCTGATGACTCTACAGTGAGCAGGAATGGGAACATAAGATGGGAGCATGGCGTAAGATAGTACTAAAGAACAACAAAATAAAACAATATACGATCCTCATTGATATGCCGATAGAAGCAAGGGCATTAAATTAAGTTTTGAGAAACAGCATTAGTGGAAAGCTGTAACGAAATCACCACTTACCTCAAACTGACTCCCAATAGTACTCAAGTCGTACTCGGTCTTCACTTTTCGAAGTGTCGACATCATGTCTTTGTTTCCTTCTGTGCGGTAGACAATGTCCACTCTCAGAACAATACAAGCCAACAGAGGTCTGTAAATGAACAATGGGAGAAAGTAAAGTACAATGTAAAGTGAAGCTTGGGTCGAGAGCAGGATTATCCAATGTCTCCCCTCCTGAAGATGGTGTCAAGGTTATCAAATGAATGCAATGAAAAGTGAATACAAGTATCCTCAACTGTCATGTGCGCGGCAAGGCGTTTGTATACACAACAAACTAAAAGATCTTATAGACACCAAGTAGACTTAACTGTCTTCCTGTAGTGCAAAATGTCCTTACAAACGATAATGACCTTGAGAACTTATGCGACAACCAGGTTGGTTACAATCCTACGAAATTTCGTGCTTCATTTTGCCATATATGAACAGTTTGGAATTTGGACGACTTAAGTGCCCTACTAACATGTAGAATAACACCTATTACGTAAGATGTGACTAGGACTGGCAATTTAGGCCAAATGTTTACCTAAACCAGAAGAGAGAAAACTTTCCTGACCTTGTTCGCGAGTAGGAAACTTGTCGAATGTGAAGAATTCGAACCCGTGTCCATGGCAACCGGATAAACAACCATGTAATGATGCTGTGACGTGTCCATGGTCAACCTGTGTTCCAACTCGGTGGTTGTTTACCAGGTTGCCATGGACACAGGTTCGAATTCGACAAGTTTCGTACTCGCGAACAAGGTCAGAAATGTTTCTCTCTTCTGTTTTAGGTAAACATTTGGCAGTAAAGATCTAAATCTCAGTCATGTATTACGTAACAGGTGTTAATCATGTCTAAGTAGGGGAATTTGCTCGTCCCAAACTGTTCATATCTGGCAAAATGAAGCATGAAATTTCGTAGGATTGCAACCAATCTGGTTATCCCATACAAAGTAGGTTAGTCCCAAGGTCGTTTGGAAGGACATTTTCAACATGGACAGAAAATCTTGGTATCTAGATCTTGCAGTTTATTGTTTAATATCTAACGTTATATATCATATAAAACCAGAAAGTCGAAGATACATCTGATCAACACTCTTCCGTCGATTTATTTGATAACCTTGATACCATCGTCGGGAAGGGCGCCGGCACTGTCTGCAGCCTACTCTGGCAGAGACTAACATATTTCCGTTCCCTGTAAAAATATGGACCTTCAAAGAGAAATGCCCGTTGAATTGTGGCCCCTTCCCACACAAAAAAACACCATTACTTTTCTTTGAAAATCTCTTTATTCACGTCAAGTTTAAGTATGTTACATGAAGAAAAGTCCAGAATTGCCTACCTAGCTATAGAACCTTGAAATCATATCTTACATAAAAGATGTCACATAACATGCCACACTAAACATACATTGTACATAAGATGTGACAGAACACACCCTCCTTTTAGTTACTCTGTACAATTCTGTGAGAAAATGGCAACCAAAACAACCTCACAGGTTTGGCAGGCTTTCACTTTTGTGCCCAGTACTATTAAAAAGCTCTTTACCATGGCTGACAACGAGATTAATATTATCAGATTTCAAACATACAGTATCAGCGTGTGTGAAAACAGCCTAACTTAACTACAGTGACACAATCTGAAATGTCCTATTTACTCAACTAATAATGTGATGAAGAGGGTCTGTACCAGCTTTCCCTTTATTTTGTTGACAGCTGTTTATCTAATTTTTTTACATACGATAAAGGATTAACTTGTAGAGGAGGGAGAAAAAAATACAAGGCACAAAACAGGGTACACAGTGTCAATGATTATACAGCAAAGTACTAGCACTTATGCACAGGTTTAGGTACCAGTAGAGAACCACAATAGAAAGATAGTACCTAGTGGCATAGTTCACAATATATACAGATCATTAGCTCATCATCTGAGATTTTCTCTGGAATGACAGACCTTATAATTTTTAATGTTCACCCAAGATTACAAATCTGCCCCCTATGTTATTGCTTTCACGAGATTACAGTGATTGTCAGCAGCTTCAGGTACCTTGTAAGCACTGATTGTGACACCCACCAGCAACTGTGTCGTGTCATGATTGGTAGGAATTGCTCACCAATCACAGAGCTTGATACATGTACATGCATGTCACAGCATTACACTTCAACTAAGCAAGTCCATTTCAAAGATGGATATACAAGTGGTACATGTATGTGCATAGCTAAAATGGAACTATCATCCACATCTGCCTTGTCTGTACCAATATTGTAGCTACAAAACAAGACTTTAGTTGCAATACCTCAATTGGAATTTCCACCACAATTACACTTGTATTTACAGGTATGATCACTTAGCCTTGCTGGGATACAATGTTTGAAAGTTTTCACAGTATACAACACTATACTAGACATAGCAGCAAGACTCAATTTGTCTTCAACAGAATAGAGAAACAACTTCTTCACACGATAAAGAAAGACTTGTAACACTGATAAAATACATGGCTGACCAAAACAGTTATACAAATGACTCATGCTTGACCAAATAACATGAAGAGAGAAGTACAGGATAGTCAAGTCTCACAACTATTTTATAGAAGGTGCATTGTGATTCACCAAAAATATGCCTTCATAAAAATGGTCCCTGGATTTACTTCATACTTAAAATATTCCCCCTTAAAATGTCAAGAGTTGCAATAAGAGTTGCAATGTATACTTAATGTATACTTAAAAAAATGTCTTCCTCATTATTGAACAAAAGAAATTTAACAATCTACAGCTAGCAGTTTGTCCAAAATATGCTCAATTCAGGACATAAACAAAGGGCTCCTGAACAAAAAAATATATATCACAAATGCTTTACCATTTTCGAGAATTCAAGATTTCTAGCCCCTTCTTGGATATTGTACCATGCGACTGTGTATAACTGCCAAATTTGGTCTTGGGGGATCCAGCTCCAGACACATTGGGGTGAGGCCCGAGCTGCTTCCTTTGGAGCCTTGGTCTGGTTTCCACCTTTGCAGAGGTTGGCCTCTGGCCAGGTTGCTGCAAAAAGAGGAAAATCATAGAAACCTTAAAAAAAGTAACAGTGATTAAAAGGAGAATAAAATGAAAGGCCTGACTCTTATAAAACTGGAGCACGACATGGGTTTGACACCCATGGTACAAGTGAAGCGTGTTCGAATCATCCTATAGAACTTTTGGAAGCCTGTGGGATAACCGTTAGAACCCTGTGTGATACTTCTAGTTATCAGATGGAACAGGTATGACATAAAATGGCAGAAGGGCACACGTACCAAAGCTGAAGAGGTGATGGCCAGACCAGGGTCATCCTTCCTGGTCAGGATGTTGTTCTGGAGAGCTGCTGCCTTGGTTGCAGACATGGTTCTCCCCCTGCGCCCTCCAACAGGGGCGGAACGGGCACTGCTGGTGTTCAAGCCAGACTACACAAACACAGATGCAATTTGTCATGATTTATGTCATTATGCTTTAAGTGTAATGCAAAATACCTCAGCATGTATGAAATCATTATCATATTTTCACATTTCCCACTTTTGCCTCCATCAGTGAAACATGTAGCACAGTGATACTCACATAACCTGCCTGAAGATTTTCATAACTACGTTGTCTCTGAAGAGTGGACCTGGCTTTGAAAGGGCTGGGCTGAGGTGCAGGCTCCTTTGTAGTTCTTCCAAATGCTACCCCTTGAAGATAAACAAAAAAAAATCAATTAGCAGCTCTAACATTTACCTTCAGAGAAATTCTTAGTCACTGTCAAATTCTGATGAGATAATGGATGCCATCTGAAACATAATTTCAAACTCATCAGCAAATTTATTCAGCTGCTTGAAGTTATTCAGTTATCACTAAGTCTTATAACGTTATATGTCTTATTTCACTAGAAGCACATAATATGTACCCGTGTGTCCATTAGATGTTCTATTCCTGGGAGACACCTTGGGGGAGGGTTTTGATGGCACCTCGTCCATGACCACATCTTTGGGGGAGGGTTTCTCTTTAGGCGACTGTTTAGGAGAGTGTTTCTGGGAGCCAGCTGAGCCCTGGCGTGGCTGCTGCTGCTGTGTCTGCTGTCGCTCTTTCAACAACGTCCGGCGCTGTCTACGGACTATGGTCTTCTTCTCCATGATGAGCTGAAATGTGGAGATAAACATGAGATTTCAAGGATACAATCTCAGCATTTTAGAAACTCTATAATTACATTTTGTTTCTTTTTTAAATATCTGGATATGTACATGCATACATAACATTTAGTAATCCTTAAAATTTGTTCTTTTCCAAACAACAGTTAATAGAAAATGAAAGCAAAGATAAGAAATGTGCCTATCAATTAGTTTGATACAACTATAAATTAGTATTATAGATTCAAACAAAAAGCTCCTTACTTCATACAGCTTGCTCCTGTACTCAGACACAGACAATTGGACATCATCATCTAGTGGAGGCACTACATCATAATCCAGCGCTGGCTCATCACTGGCATTGTGGAATCTGGAATACACAATGTTGGACTGATTTATTATCCAACTACATCAGGGTATGTTTCTGGGCATGGGACAAATTCATAGTCAAGAAAGAATGCATAATCTTATGATTATACCAGACACATCTTGAAATTGCTACTCATCAGTAGACCAATTAAAAGGCACTGGTTGTTGAGACAATGTACATATCAGTTGGAAATCTTGACAATGTGCAACATTCAGAAACAAGGCTCTTCTGTGTAAGGTGTCCTTTCTAACAAACTGGGACATCTTGAGGAGCACTGACCTGGCTACGTAAGGATGCTGCAGAGCCTGTTCTGCTGTCAGCCTTTTCTCAGGGTTGAACACGAGAAGCCTCCTGAGCAGGTCAAGGGCATCTGCCGGCTGGCCTGGCAACATGTCCTCAAATGACCTCTTTGGTCTGCAGGGGAAACAATATAATAGCACTTGTCAAGCACTCTTGTCAAAAAGGTGCAAAAGGTAACATCCACAGAAACTTATGGTTTCCTTTATTTACAGACTAACTGCTTTTGTGTGACATAGTTGTATTGTGTCCTGCTATGAAAATTAATAACCATGCAAAAATATTCATATCACATCATAATTATGGAGTACATGTACATGTCCTGTCCCTGTCTTACATGCGGCAAAATATGAACACCTTATTATTTTTTTTACCTAGAAAGGCAAATGTAACAACATTGGCTTGAAAGGCATCTATTTTTTAGAGTCAATAACCAAAATGTGTAGCAATGCAGATGATATAGGAAGGTGAATTCATTATTAATCCTTGCATGCAATGAAAAATTGTTTCTTCATTGCAGCTGCTTCATTGTTAACATAGATTTGCTTATTCAAAGATATAAGACCACTACTGAATAATATATGTAATGGTATCAGGTTTCCCAACTGCATAATATCTACTTTAGATAATACAGTGAGCTTAAGTATGTGGCATCTAAAAACACAGATATTTCACAAAATAAACCACCTTATTAAGTCAGTCTCTTTTAGTTATGTGCATTAAAAAAATAGCCAGGGGAAAAGAGCCAAACAGTAGCAGGGTTCTCCCCAGACGATGGAACAAGGGCGCTGCGCCCTGATACTCCTAGCTCAGCGCCCTCATACTCATTTTCAAATCTAGGGTGTTGCATCCCGATTTTTCTACAAAATTTCGCTAAAATTCGATAAAATTTCCTGATTTCGGGGCTTAGTGGCGTCTACTTTCCCGCCGGCATTGTCTCTGAAAACTTGTGAATGGGGCGATAATCGAGTAAACAATGAGTATTTCGCACGACGCTACTGAGAGAATCGCTGTCATTGGTGGAACATCGGGCGCCCCGCTAGCGTTTTGAAGTCGTGTAAAGAAAGCTAATTGTCTGATTTCTTTGTAAACCAAAGCCCTCGACCCTGATAATAAGTTTAAAAATAAAAGCCGATACGTTTACGAACTTATAAACCGTAGAAAATTCCCTACCGTACCGCGACATTATGAAGCATGTGGCGGCCGCGAAATTCGTTGACGCGACAGAAAATGTCTGGTTCATGATAGCGGTATTTCCCATGAAAATAACGTATACGATTTATTTTTCCCCTGCTGTCGGTTTTTAAGTCCCGAAACGTTAAAAAAAAGCTGAATTTTGCCCACAAACCCGACGGGGGACGGCCTGTAGCACATGGCGGCCGCACCGCAAGCTCTGCTAGCCGTGGCGACTATTGATTCGGGCTTACATTGCATTACCCTCAGCAATAGTCGTGGAAAGATCCATTGGCAGAACTGCACATTTCCCGTTGGCTGCTCGATGCTCTGTTTTTGACCCGGTTTTTTGCTGTCCCGAGCTTCCCTACAATATAACTCCACAATTGGCCGGGTTGCCGATGTTTAGATCAGCCTAAATATTCCACAGCGCGACAGAAAAGTAGTAAAATAGCTAGTCGGCACAAGCTGGCGCCATCTTGGATATAGTCGGGAATGTCCGCTACCGCCGTCGGGAACGCTCGGTAGCCTTTCCGGTTATAATCGGAGAGCTTTCGGTCGGGCTTCGGTAATCGTGACGCTACCGAGCGTTCCCGACGACCCTAGCATGTCCAGATAGCGAGATA